GGGGAAGGGAGGGAAGGAGAAGGGAGGGGGAAGGGAGGGGAAGGGAGAGGAAAGGATGGGAAGGGAAGGGAATGGAGAAGGAAAAGAAGGGAAGGGGAAAGGAAGGGAAGGGGAGAGGAGGGGAAGGGAAAGGAAGGGAGAGGGGAAGGGAAGAGAAGGGGGAAGGGAAGGGGAAAGGAAAAGAAAGGAAAGGAAAGGAAAGGAAAAAGGAGGGAGGGTTATCATGATTAGCCAGTTGTCTTTGAAGACATTGAGAGAACATTTACATGTTTGCCAATAACTTCCAAAAAGGATGAACAGTTTCCTTTTGAAACCAGAAAGTTTAATGTTAGCTGGCTAATCTGGAAGTTTTCATGATAATTAATAGTTAACTATTTTTAACCAGCAAGTTGGCCAAAGGCTGTGCACATAAAATAGTTCTTTGATCTCAGAGCAGGAAGAAGTAATAGACCATTTAGCAGTCTGATGCTAGCCAGTTTATAAATAAATACTTTCCGAGTGGACATTGGACATATACAATTAAAAAAAAAGAAAAAGAAATAAAAAAATAAATAAATACTCAAATATTTAGGTCACTTTGGGAGAAATAAAGATCCTGACAATGACCAGAGGAGACCTTGACAAGCACATTAATGAGTCTCACACTCATGACCAGAAATCCAGCCAGGCGGGTTCCAGCAGCCAGTCATCCTTGAGACCTGTGGTCAGGTCCAGGTGTGGCCACTTAAATTACTGATCAGCAAACATTCACTCCAAACATTCCACCCACACCTCCATGTGAGCTGTATACGTCTTGCCCCATTGATATTGGACTTGGCCATGGGACTGGCTGTGTGGCCAATGAACGGTATGTTGGTGGATATGATCCAAACAAAGGTTTAAAATATGCTTGTGCAATTGGTTCCCCATCTTGCATTTCTGTCATTACCACGTAAAAAGCTCCACCAAGCTTGTTTAAAAGAGCCTGCCACCTCCTCCCCTCTCTTTCTCACTCTCTCTCTCGCATGTGACATGCCTGCTCCCCCTCCATCTTTCACCATGAGTAAACGCTTCCTGAAGCCTCACCAGAAGCCAAGCAGGTGCTGGCGCCATGCTCGTACAGCCTGCAAGAACTGTGAGCCAAATAAACCTCTTCATTTATAACTTACCCAGCCTCAGGTGCTTACAGCAATGCAACATGGACTATCATGTATTGACATGCATTTCGGCCAGGCTCTTTAGTAGGCTATCCTCTCTACCTGAACAGACATAAGTGGGGCGGGGTGAGCCCAGCCTATATGCTGGAACCAAGCCTTTCTACACTACCTAAACCCAAGAAAACCCACAGACATGTGAGCCAAAAAAAAGAACTTCGTGAACGCTACTGAGTTGTGTGATGGTTCATTACATAACACTATTGTGGGTCTCACTGACCAATGAATGCACCAGGTTTTAAGATCATCCTGTGGGTCACAATTATTTGGTAGGAGACTCTTGCCCTAGTGAATAAATGACTGAGGTTTTAAGAGACAAAGGACGCCTTAGAAAGAAAGACAAGAAATGGCTGTAGCTTAAGGTAGCATAAAACAAAAAAGACATTTCCCACGTAAAAACACAAAACTAGAATAGTCGGGGAAACAAAGAAAAATGTGTGATGCGGTGTTAAGAAGCTGATGACGGGCAAATATTTTGCCAGGAGGGAGAAGGCAGGTAAGCAGGGACAAGAGGGTGCTGGAGAAAACGGGAATGTGGAAGTAGCATTTGAGAAGGGCCTTGAAATCTTGAAAAGGTGCCTGCAGTCTGCCAGGTGGGAGGAGCTGGAGGCAGGAGAGGAAGCACTCACTGGACCTCAGCTGATGAAGGGGGATGGGTATCCCCCAGGCCTCAGAAGCCCTCAGCTTTTCAGCAGGAGAACCAGGCATTTAAGAGCCAGCCTGTTCAGGTTCAAACTCCAGTTCCCCCACTTCCCAGCTGTATGATTGCCCCGTGCCTCAGTTTCCTCACCTGTAAAATGGGGATTACAGGAGCCAATGTGTGCAAAGTTCTCAGATGCACCTGCCACACAGTCAGTACTATATGAAGGCCAGTCAGTGACAGTGTCGTGATTATCCTATGTGGCGGACCAGAAAGACACCAGGAAGGAGGTCCCAGAGGGAGCCGGTGCAGGAGCCATAACATGGGAAAAGAGTATCCCTTGGGTGAGAACACAGCTGGGTGCAGACATCCAACCCCCCACTCCCAGTGTGGCTGGGAACAAGTCCGTCATCTCGCTGCCCTCAGGCTCCTCTGTGAAATAGAGAAGCTGTGCTGTGTGTGCAGGGAGAAAATGGATGGGTCTGAGGGTGCCACATCACTGTGGGTGTCTCCTGGAAGGGCTGGACCCGGATATATGGGGAGAGGCCGCACGGGCTGCCTTGGACCAAACCCTGCCGATCCCAAGCGAGAGCTACAGTGTTTGAGAGACAGCAAGTACATGAAAATCGCTCAGCCCCTCAGTGGCAAACCCAGCCCATTCAGCCTCCTTGTAAACATTTTTATATACACAGCCAGAAGGTTCTCAGTGTGGCTGCCAAACCTTAAAAGTAAAACCACAAGGCCAGTAAAACACAAAGATACAGCCTCTCTGGGGCTCTTATAAAAGAAGCAAAATAAAGACCTGACACTTTCTGGGAGGGTCACAGGCCACCCACCTGCCACCATACACAGACACGCACACACACACGTGCTCACGTCCACACATGCACTCATACCAGCACACAACCCGTGTGTGCGCACCCTAGGCACACATGGGCACACGAGGCACCTGCACTCTGTGTGCGCATGTGTACACCTCATGCCCGTGTTCACACACACTCACCCTGCTCATCCACAGGCACGCACACACACTCATAGGAGCAGTCACTCATGCACACGCACCCTCACCCTCACCTGTGGCACATGCACACACACATGTGCACACACACAGGCCCCGCTTCCTGGAAGCCAGCTTTGGAGCAAAGTTGACCCAGAGCTCCAAGGCCTTGGGAATTATGGGATGTACATCCCAGAGGGCTGCCGACAACGGAGAGGTGTCAAGCACAGGCCCGGATTTCACCCGGCTCTGCCCCTCATGAGGTGTGAGACTTCAGTGACTTAATCTCCTTAAGCCTTGGTTTCCTCATCTGTCAGGTGCGAGTGAGATGGACAGCCCCTTCCTCACGGGGTGGTGCGGAGGTTTCTCAGTTGACGCTTGTAATGTGTTTACCCCTGTATCCAGCACATAGTAACTGCTCAACACATCTCAGCCATGGCATGGCCGCATCATCGTGTTTCCCGGTGATTTCAACTTGGAAGCTGTGGCTTGAGCACCCCAGCCAAATGCTTTGGAGATGGCCACATGTGGTCATTAAACAGGACACAGCCGTGGGGACATCAAGGAAACGGAGGAGGCAGTCCTGACTACCAAGAGCATGCTGGGTGGGGTGGGGGAGTCCTTGTCACTTTCTGAGAACTGAGGGCCCTGTGGGTTCCCTGTCTCTTGCCCCTCAACCTTACCAGCTGCCACTTGACTGGAGCACTCCAGGAAGATGGTGTCTGCAAAACAGCCTCCATGACATATGGTGCCCTTCTGCTTCAGTTTCCCCTCCCCTGACTTTTAAGCCTGGAGCCCTCTCCTGATCTCCAGGCTACCTGAGGAGACATGCATCCATGTTTCTCTCTTGGCAGCCTTTCTCTTGGGTGGCAGGGAGTAGGCAGGTGGGGAGGCAGCCATGCTCCCCCATGTCCTTGTGGCAGGCTCTCCTCCAGTGTCCATTCTCTTGTTCTTCCATAATAACAAAACCCCTCACTTTCAGCTAGGCACAGCATTGCCCAGGATCACACTTCCCAGCCTCCCTTCCAGCTGGGTGTGACCATGTAACTAGTTCTGGTCAAGGAGATACATGCAGGTGTTGTGGGGTAACTTCTGGGAACCTTAGAGTTTGCCCTTCCTGCATCCTGCTGCCTGGAATGCAGATGCAATAGCTGGTGCTCTGGCAGCCATCTTAGACTATGAAGAGAAAGGTTGGGGGACAACAGAGAGGGCGGCAGGGGCCAGGATCCTGAGGACTTCATGGAGCAGAGCCACCTTGGATTGCCTACTTTCAAACTTTTATAAAGGAAATAAATTTCTCCATTGAAATCCGTTCTTTGGGGTCACTATTACTTGCAGCTAGACCTAATCCTGACTGCTATCCCTCCACTCAAGCTGTGGCCTGCCCTTGATAATCCAGTCACTGCCTTACACAGCTCTGAACATCTCTGTGGGCTCAGAGCCTCTGCTGTTGGGCACTGAACACCCGTGAGCCCTCTCTGCATGGCATCATCCAGTCTGACTGGCTCTCCCCACACCTGTGCCATGACACAGGCCAGGTACCTTCCCTCCCCCAAGGTCCAATCCTACAGCCGGAGGCAAACTCCAACACCCATCTTGCCTGAACCAAATGTCCACACTCCCACCATCCCTCCCACAGTCAGTCCCAGAGTGCACTGGAAGGAATGGAAGGGTGGTGACGCTGAGGGCTGCTCCATCAGACCGGGAGGACAGACAGTCCCCTCCACCAGCCTCTCCCACTCTACTGAGAGCTCAAGACACGCAGGACTTTGCAACAGGGGATCTGGCTTCCAGGGCCCTGCTGTCCAGAGTTGCTGAAGGAGGCACTATCATAGGGCTTTGGGGAGCACCAAGGCAGGAAAGATGTCCCCAGAGAGGGCAGAGCTGCCACAGCTGAGCTGGGGCCACACTCACCTTTCTCCGATGCCGGGGCCAGGTCAATGAAGCTGCGGCATTTTTCACCTTTGAAAAGAAGAGAAAGGTTTTCAGAATGCAAGAGGGTACATGGACTCCCAAGGTTTGCCTGCCCCTGTCCCATGAGCCCTGAAGCAAGCCAGTGTCTCTGACGCAAGCCCAGTGGCCCCTTTCTCCAGCCCTGATTCCTAGAAGCCCAACATCCCAGAAATGTGGATGGCAAAACCACCAACTCTCCCACCTCCTGACCCCATCCATCCAGGCCCATTTCTTCCACCTCCACAATAGCAACTGGGTCCCTTTCCACAGCCTCCCTCTGGAATCCACGCTCCTTCTCACTGGCCTCCGCAGGCCTCCACTCTGGCCCCTCTCCAATTCATTCTCCATGCTATGGCTGGAGGGATCTTTGCAAAACACAGCTCTGATCACGCTCAACACACGCACACACACAGCTTACTCCTGTTTGAAACTCTCTGATGATTTCCCAAAGGAGAAAGTTCAAATTCCCCTATGTGGACTCAAAACAGGCCATGATGGGCCTGTCCACCTGCTCCCCTCTCCCACTGTCCCCGTTCCTTGTTCACCCCTGTGCAGCCTCCCACTGTGGCTTTGCACATGCTGTTCCCTGCTGGGAACATACTCCTGCTGTTGTGACTCCCGCTGTGGCTTTGCACATGCTGTTCCCTGCCGGGAACATACTCCTGCTGTTGTGACTCCCGCTGTGGCTTTGCACATGCTGTTCCCTGCCGGGAACATACTCCTGCTGTTGTGACTCCCGCTGTGGCTTTGCACATGCTGTTCCCTGCCTGGAATATACTCCTGCAGTTGTGACTCTCACAGCACCTGGGTTTTCTATGGGGCCCGTGGTCACCCTCTGAGTCTGCCTTTGTGTGTGTGAGTCTCAGGTACAAGGTAGTGGCACTGAGATGGTAACTCACAGAAAGAGAATGTGCTGACCGCCAAGAACTGGAAGGGAGGATTTTAAAGAAAGAAAAGAAAGCAGCCTGCTAGAGTGGATGGATTTTGAACAAATTGCTTTAAACTTTGTTGAATGTTACATTGTTTCCGCAAAGGCTAGAGGGAAATGTAATGTCCAGATCAGCATCCACAGCCGCAGTGAGGTACCGGAGGGCCTTGGGCCATTTTGTCTTGATGAGCCCCTTCCTAAATAAAAATTGATTAATTAATTAAAAATTGTGATATTTATTGCAGCACTATCCACAAGAGCCAAGGTTTGGAAGCATCCTAGCCATCAACAACAGATGAATGGATAAAGAGTGGGGCATGTACACTATGAAGTACCATTCAGCCATGGAAAGAATGAGATGCTGTCATCTGCAACAGCAGGGATGGAACTGGAAGTCATTACGTTAAGTGAAAGAAGCCAGGCACAGAAAGACAAACTTTGCATGTTCTCACTTATTTGTGGGATCTAAAAAACAAATCAATTGAATTCACGGACATAGAGAGTAGAAGGCTGGTTATCAGAGGCTGGGAAGGGTAGTAGGGGACTGAGGGGGCAGTGGGGATGCTTAATAGGTACAAAAAAACCCAGAAAGAATGAATAAGACCTACTATTCACTAGCACAACAGGGCACTGTAGCCAATCATAACCGTACATTTTTAAATAGCTAAAAGAGTGTAATTGGATTGTTTGCCTGTGTCAAAACATCTCATGTACCCCATAAATATATACACCTACTGTGTATCCACAAAACTTAAATATTGTATTGTATTGTACTGTATTTGAGACAAAGTCTCACTCTGTCGCCCAGGTTAGAGTGCAATCCTGGCTCACTGCAACCTCCACCTCCTGAGTTCAAGCAATTCTCCTGCCCCAGCCTCCTGAGTAGGTGGGATTACAGGAACCCACCACCATGCTCAGCTAATTTTTGTATTTTTAGTAGAGATGGGGTTTCTCCATGTTGGCCAAGCTGGTGTCGAACTCCCAACCTCAAGTGATCCACCTCAGCCTTCCAAAGTACTGGGATTACAGGCATGAGCCACTGCATCCTGCCAAAAAATTTAAATTTAAATAAAATTTAATTTAATTTAAAAATCATTTTAAAATTATATTTTGGGCCGGGTGTGGTGGCTCACGCTTTGGGAGGCCGAGGCAGGCGGATCATAAGGTCAAGAGATCGAGACCAGCCTGGCCAACACGGTGAAACCCCGTCTCTACTAAAAATAAAAAAATTAGCCAGGCATGGCGGCACACGCCTGTAATCCCAGCTACTCAGGAGGCTAGGGCAGGAGCATCACTTGAACCCAAGATCACACCACTGCACTCCAGCCTGGGCAACAGAGGGAGCCTCCGTCTCAAAAAACAAACAAAAAAAAGAATCAGAAGATCTGGCTGTGCTGAGCCCACAACCCCACACAGCAGCAATCACATGGAGCCAGGCAGCTGTGCCTCCTTCAGATAAGGCACCTGCAAGCTCTCAGGTTTGCCATAGTCCCCACACCCACCACTGTTCTACCCCAGCCTCGCCCGAACCACCCAGATGGCCCCTGCGATGCTACATTGGATGAACTTTAGGATGAGTTTGCAGCCCCTGGCTTCAGGATGTTACCACTGGTCCCAACAAAGACAGATTGGGTCAAAACGGAACAAATGTGGGTTGAAGAGTGAAAACGATCTAGAAGCTTTCAGCATTCTCAACTCATTTGTCTGCTTGGAGCTTCCTAAGCTCTCCGAGAAGGTCTCTTGAAGCCCCTTTGGGCTCCTGAACCTCCTGCCAGCCCCATATCAGGCAAAGGCAGAGACGGAGGCAGTGCTGGGAGATGAGTCTGAGAAGGAAGGCAGGGGTCAGATCACAAAGGATCTTTAGTGTCGAGTCAAGGAGGTGCCTCCTCTCTCATTTATGTCACTCCTGAAGAATCATGAGGCCACACATGGGTGAATCCTGCTCTGTGGTTCCAGCATTCTGGCTTCACCCATCGTGCTTTGTACTGAGATGGAGGACTCATGTCTTCCATTGCAGACAAAGATGATAAGGCCCAGGGCAGCTGAGGGACCAGCCTGGGCCACATAGCACGTTAGAGATGCTGAGAGTATAACCCACTGAAAGAGATGTTTGCTGACAGCCAAGAACTAGAAGGGAGGATTAAAGAAAAAAAGTGTTGGCCTGCCGCGGTGGCTCATGCTTATAATCCCAGCACTTTTGGAGGCCGAGAGGGGAGGATCACTTGAGGCCAAGAGTTCGAGACCAGCCTGGCCAACATGGAAAAACCCCATTTCTGATTTTAAAATACAAAAACTAGCCGGGCATGGTGGCACATGCCTGTAGTCTCAGTTATTTGGGAGGCTGAGGCAGGAGAATCACTTGAACCTGGAAGGCAGAGGTTGCAGTGAGCTGAGATCATGACACTGCACTTCAGCCTGGGTGACAGAGTGAGACTCCTCTCAAATAAATAAAATAAAAAGTGTTGTTTTGAGTGGATGGATTTTGGATGAATTGTTTTAAACTTTCTGTAATGTCATATTGCTGGAATGGAGGAGATGTAATGGCCAAATTCAGACCAACACCCAACGCCGCATTAAAATATTGGCTGGCCTTGCAAACTTTTACCTATTAGGAGCCCTTCTTAAACTTAAAAACACAATAAGAGGCTGGGCATGGTGGCTCACACCTGTAATCCCAGCACTTTGGGTGGCTGAGGCAGGCAGATCACGAGGTCAGCAGTTCGAGACCAGCCTGATCAACACGATGAAACCCCGTCTCTACTAAAAACACAAAAATTAGCTGGGTGTGGTGGCGGGCATCTGTAGTCTCAGCTACTCAGGAAGCTGAGGCAGGAGAATCGCTTGAACCTGGGAGGCAGAGATTGCAGTGAGCCGAGATCACACCACTGCGCTCCAGCCTGGGTGATAGGGTGAGACTCAGTCTCAAAATAAATAAATAAGAAATAATAAATAAATAAATAAATAAATAAATAAATAAATAAAATATAGTGTACAATTCAGTGGTTTTCAGTATACTGTTAGTGTATTCACAGGGCTGTGTGACCATCACTACAATCAATTTTAAAATATTTTCATCACCCTGAAAAGAAACCCATATCTGTTAGCAGCCACTCATTTTCCCTAACTCTTCCAGCCCTAGGCAAGAGCTCATCGATTTTGTGTCTCTATAGATTCACCTAGTCTGGGCATTTCATGTAAATGGAATCATACAAGATTACATGATTCATATAAACGGAATCAGAATACACACAATGTGATCATACAAATGGAATGATATGATCATCCAATACAATCATACAAGAATATTTTGTGACTGCCCTCTTTTACTTAGAATAATGTGTTTAAGGACCAACCACCTTTGCAGCCTATGTTAGTAATGCATTTCTTTATATCACAGAATAATATTATGTTATGTGGATATACCACATTTATTTATCCACTCATCAGAAAATGGACGTTTCAATTTGTTTCCATATGTTGGTTATTTATGAACGTTCATGTATAAATTTTTGGGCGGACAAGTTTTTGTTTCTCTTGAGTCTATACCCAGGAATAGAATTGCTGAGTCATATGATAACTCTATGTTTAACATTCTGAGAAACTGCTACAATTTTTTCCAAAGCATATGCACCATTCTATGGTCCCATCAGCAACATATGAGGGTTCCAGATTCTCCACATCTTCACCAACACTTGCTATTGTTCATCTTTCTTTTCCTTTTTTTTTTTTTTTTATGAGAAGCATCCATGCCAGTGCCATGCGGAATCTCATTGTGGTTTTAATTTGCAATTTCTTAATGACTAATGATGTTTAGCATCTTTTCATGCGCTGATTGGCCATTTCTATATCTTCTCTGCAGAAATATCTTCTCAGACCCTTTGCCCATTTTTTAATTGTGTCATCTGTCCTTTCATTATGGGTGGTGAGCTCTTTATATATTCTGCATGCAAGTCCCTTATCAGATACCTGACTTGTAAATATTTTCTCTCACTGTGTGGCTTTTCTCTTTCTTGATGACATCCTTTGAAGCAGAAAAGTTTTTAGTTTTAATGATTCTCAATTTATCTATTTTTCTTTTGTT